ATTATAACAATTACCGTATACAACTAACCATTTGTCCAGGCATACTAAGGTAGTTTGATGTGCATTAGGGTCGAACGCAAATTCACATCCCATCTTGTCTTAATGAAGTTTCTTTTACAAACCTCTGTAATTCCTTATAGAGATTGATTACAACCAATGGCATGAAAGTAAATGCCATTTCACCAAGAACCCAAAATTTGCATGGCACTTGAAATTTCAAATTTCGATATTAAAAAAAATATATATTTGGAAAGCCTACGCTTTCTTACACCTCTTTAAAGAAAAGAGAGGCTTGAGTTATTTGCTTATTAAATATCACAATATGACAAATAAGACCATGGTCAAATATGTTTTGTCCTTTGAGTATATGCGCAATCTGTGCACACCAAGGGATCTCCCAAACAGATTACTCTTGGAATATCTAATAGGAATAGGAAACTCATCTTGGACATGTTCACTTAGATTTCATAACCAATGCATATTGCCATTTATTAAGTTTGTGTATTTTTGTGAGAAACGTCTTTGAAATGTGTGAAAAAAAACCTACAAATTATAAGATGACACATAATGTGGTTGTATGTCATTAATGATCGCCTGCGTGTCTCCAGCATGTCGCAAAGACCTACTCTTTAAGATCCCGAGATTACCAGGGCTTTCGAATGATTTAAGAATCCATATGTTAGGATATGATACTTTAATGGAATGATTCAGACAACAACTTAAGGCTTCAAAGAAGTATGTCCCAAGACATTAATGTTCCTAAGAGCATTGACAAATTACTAACATAATCCGTAATTCCTTGCGAAAAGCGATGAAATAATTATTCTCAAGTTCAAATCCTTCTGGATCGTGGTCTGAATCCTGAAGCCGGCGTTTGCTACTTGAAATTTGTATTTCCAGGCGTCGATGATGTAATATTCCAAACGTATAAAGTCACGTAACATTCTTACAACAGTTTCAATACATTTCTACAAGATTAACTGAGAAACCGCCTACGATCAAATTTGAGGTAAACGTTTATTACAATTTACATTAATTACCCCTATTGCCATTCCCACTTAAATAAGGGTTCATTTAGTAAAGCATCATTAAATGATGAAAGTACAAATTTACAATTCTTGTTCATTTGGAGTTCTTTTCGATACAGGAAAAGAGCTCTCTGGCAAGCATTAACCTGTTATGTGCAAAGATACTTTAAAAATAACTTTAAGGGGAACGCCATGATTGCTAGAATAAAATTACTTTCATCGCGGAAAGAATCGCTCGTCTCTATATCGTAAATAAAGTCAATAACCATCGAGTGTGAGGAAAGTTTCAACGCGTGTCTCGTTCATGACGCCCGTTACTGGAAACGCTCTGTGGAGGTTTGGGTAATCAGTTTACACTAAAAACAATGACGTCAGAATTAATGGCGCGCAGGGCGTCTTTAGCGTTAAATTAAACATATTTGAAAGTCGTCAAAGGATCTAAGCGAAATATTTCTCCATCACAGTATGCAAAAAACATCTAGTTCACAGAAAAGCACCAGTTCCGGCCATGCCCTTTGAATCATTCAGCATTAGCGTTTAAACGCAAACTGAGTTAACAAAATATTTGCGTGCGAATGTTTGAAGAACATAATCTCCACAGGCATGTTTATATCCAACATCAAGACAGATCAGCAATGATTTGTGACAAAGACGAGATGAGAAAAAGGTAGTCTCTGTTTAATGTGATCATAGTGGCTATTGACAGAAAACATATTGTTTAACCATCATTCTCGTACGATCAAACAGTCAACAGCAAAACATCGAGGTAGCTATCGAATAAGATTGACGCTGGTTAATATGGCACCATGTTTTTTCGTTTCGCATGTAATTGGCTGCCCTTCATTGCTGCCCTTTGCATAACAGCATCCGTTTTGCATGGCAAACACGATGTGATCACGTAATAAAGCTTGATGAAGACATTTCTGATACATTTCACAACCTTCAGTCCTAAAGTGCAAATCAAGTGTCATTGCACATTGCAGGTTCGCTTTCTCCTTGGTAGAAATATCCGCAGTGGCCAAGTTACTCGTTTAATATAGACATCAAATAATTAAACCGAAAGCGATCTTTTTTCACAGATATTTTATGTAACTACTATGTGTTATCAGCATGCAATATTAAGCTCCCATCTAACCAACGATGGCTCAGACATGTGCATCAGCCGCTTCCCGTTTGTTTTGGGTACGTTTTGTCGACCTTTACACAACAATTCCATGCTTATTTCTACTTCCCTGGCAATCGTATTGCTTGCAAATTGTTAAGAAACGCGTGAACATGTCTACTCCCGCATGACAGTTTCAATATGCCTGCAATTCTTAAACATTATCAACCGGTTTCTTTTATATCTGGCATCTATGCTTTCAAAGCAACTGATCAAACATGCTCGTGCATGTCTCATTATATTCCCTATCAATCTTATGTGCTTAGTGTTATTATAATATAACGCAACTCGTCTTTGAAGCACTGTTTCGTCACAAAGTATGAAACGATACCGATGAATATCGATGGAACCATAGTTCATACCGTTGTGTTATGATTAAAGTGATTAAGTGTATATTTCAGAAATAAAAAATATTTTTAATAGATTCGAACAAGTAACATTCCCATAACCATCTTCCTATGTCGATATGCAAAAAAGAGGTTATTCTAGAGAACTTTGAAAATGTGATCCAAGTAAACAGATAGATAATCAAAGGGTCTTCAATAACGAGGTCGAGACTTAATGTTGACATCGTGATATCTTTGTTTCGTGGAAATGAGACTTATTTTGTCCTATGTCATAACTATTTGTAATTTCCATATATCGTCACCAACAGCCGCCGTAAAATAACTTTTAGGAATAGCAGGCTATATGATGCCAATTAGACGAAAAGTTATATGTGCGTGATCAGTGAAGGTGGTGCTTTAATGGCACTTGAAGCCACAAGAAAAGCTATATTGAATTCAACACATTTGTCGGCAATGTGTGTATCTCAGTGAAATACATATTGAAAAACCTATTCAGTGTGAAAAGCATTTTGGTGTGAGATAGAGGCGATTGGTCGGGCGATTGTTTTGGACGTATCATGAATTTATCCTTGTCGAAACAGGTTCTGAAGAGTTTAAAACTGTTCTTTCAAGATTCTGTAGAGTAATGAGATTACGTAATGATTATAATCATTTTACTGGAATCCACAGTGGCACGTATTGCGTTCCGGACACGTGTCATCAATCTGTGATCGTGGGTTCGAATCCCTGTTCGACATTATTATGTTTCAAGGTTTGTCAGCATCAGAAACGTGCTCGTAGGTTTAACAAAATAGGTAAACTTCTAAGACCACTATCACTTAGAGCATTCCTCCCATATCAAGCTGCCACGTCGTGATAATAACTGAAACTGTTCAAAGCGGCATTAAACCCAACAAGCTCACTTACTCACTCATTTTTGTGACAAGGATTCCAACAAGAATACCGTTACCCTTAATTTCCATGGACATGTTCAACGATGTAAACATATCCAAAAATGTGTTTTGATATTAACAATTTCCATATTCACCATAATATTCGTTGTCCTTTAATTGTTAGCTTTCGACCGATACAAACTCGTCGCGGCCGTCAGTAGACAGCTGTGTAAGAGTTTTGCTAACGCTGGTAAGGGACTGTGATTATTCCCCGAACAATTTAATCTTGGCGCCAACACTGCTTCTGAATCGTATATCTAATTATTTAACTGCTTTCCCCTGAGGTTAGTAGTCCGCTTCTGTGTTGGAAATATCAATGTATTCTGTAATCAGTACACGGTGACAATGAAAAATATAAATGGTTTAACTTAGAAGAGAAAATGGCTTTTCCAGTAATCATGTGCGAGTTCTGGTGAAGAAGAAAGTTGGAAACTACCTACATCTATATGGTGTAATTGATAAACATATGTAAAGGTCTGTAAAACTGCGTATGTTCGTGAAGTTAATAGTATACCTAAGAGGAACAAAATGAGGTGAGGTGGGGTTAAATGGGGTTTAAGATTATTGAACTTATATATTGACGTGCATGCACGTGTGTGTATGTAGCTGCTTGTACTAGTCCGAACTAATGCCGATGTTTATGCTAGCCCACTGAGATACCATGCCAAAGTTTAACATGGATACCCAGCTCAGACACAGTATCCTGACTCAGTCCCAATTAAGCCCCTTAACACCAGGCAGGTAAACAACAAGTACCATATTTTAACGTCTTTTGGTATGACGCGTCTGGAACTAAATGAACACACAGAGGATAACATATGATTCTTCTCAATGTGGTACGCAGGTAATGCACTTTTGTATTGAAGAACTTGTATTTTACATGGACTCAGCCACAAAACAAAGAAATATCAGTAGACACAATACTGCATACATGTGACCCGTGAAGATCCGGGTTATAATAGATCTTCGTCAACCCATGCTTGTCGTAAGAGGACATGAATCTTGGTTGATGCATGTCATCGTATCCCAATTGCGTGGATCGGTGCTCATGATATCAAGTACTGGATTGTCTGCTCCAGGCTCGATTATTTATTGACCGCCGTCAAAAAGCTAGAATATTTGCTGAGTGCAGCGTTAAGCTACAGACAAACAAAAACATACGTGTATTGTTGGTTACCGCTGCGTAGGCTTTCCATTGGTTAGATGTAGTTTACGCATTATCTGTTTTTTTTCTAAAGAAAATATAAACGTCGATTGTCTGTGCCAATATACGATTCCAAAGACAAGTCGCTGGCTAATCTTTTTTGACTTTGTGATCCTTTGTACATATTTTCAAAAGAAATATTCCAAGTCTGCCAAACATAATCTACATCACCAAATATTTCATATCCCTCGAGGTAACAAATTCGGACATTATACATCATTACAAATGTTGCTATTCTCAGGTGCCTTCAGGCTCTTCACTGTTCCTTGGACACAAAGCAAACGGTTTTTCTTTGAACATGGTAAGAAAATTTCAGGCTGTACTTACCATCACAACAAATGACGGAGAAGCCAGCAATATGGCGGCTAGCCACACGAGAATTAGCGCGACCTTGGTGTTGCGTGTTGTGCAGAGGGATTTTGATGTCAATGGATGAGCAATCACAAAATACCTGAAATATAAAAGATTTAGAACATAATGAATGATATGTTTTCATCAAGACAAATTCTGAACTCAGGACATCACCCGACACTTTTCTCTGTACACTTTACATGATTATCGAACTACAATGTAATGAAAATGTAAGTGAAAATGTAATGACAAACAAAAAGTCTGTGATATGATATCTGGTTTACAATAAACGTTGCCATTCATTTTTTGGTACGTGTATATATTTTAATATTGGATGGATGGGAGTGTGTGCTGCAATCCGATTGGATGGAAAACGATTGTTAAGTGGGAGTGCATCCCGGAAATGTTCGGGCTTTCCACTGCATATTTCTAAAAAAATAATCAAGCCACTCTTGACTTATGAAAAACACAGAAGCAGTCGACGCTAAATCGAAGCACAGTTAAAATATATTCTGAACTGTAGTCTTAATTTCTTGTTACGGATAAAGGTGGCGAATGAGAGGTATGATTAATGTAGGAATGTTACCACCATTCTGTTATAAGCAGATTGACTTAGAACGAACGTTGTACTAATGGGTAAAATGGGCAGTCTTAGATCTGTACGACCTCATGAGACGTCAGGGCGCGAAGTTTGAAAAAGCGACAACCCTTCGCCACAAGCATAGAGCATAGATTGGCTCCTCGCACATCGAATTTTTTAATAGTACCCGCAAATCTGAACACTTAATGTTTATCTTCTACGTTATATCACTCCAAAATATATTTGTCGTTAACCTGGTTAATTTGTCAATCCGGGTGATTTTAACTCTAAACGGTACCCTGCGATTTAACAAGGTTTCACTTTAGCCATAGGAAAGAAATCAGCTTATACAACCACATCAAACGAGACAATTTTGCAAATATGCATAGTTATATACACACTTACGACAATGTATAGTAACTAAGATTGATTATATCTATTGAAAATATGTTTCCATGCCATTATTAGCTTTTGAACAAGCCCAACGTGGGAATTCCAGGGTATAATTATAAAAAATGCCAAGTTCCCCATGTGTCGTCTGAGAACTCACTAAATTGCGGATTCTTTATGATTATTCAGTGTTTTCTAAAGAATGTGAAGTTTTGTTCGTGCTATCATCCACTGGTTGTCTTATCCAGTTTAGATTATTTACAGACAGTGCTTACAATTGAGCGTAAAAAACCTAAATCACTTCCAAAAAATCTCTCATCAGCGTAATTGATTTAACTGTTGTTAAGTCTATTTGAATAACAGCAACATTTGTTTTGTTGTTGTGGAAAAACACAATTTCACGTTTCAAAACAATACAGCTATGTATTTGTATTACTTGAGAACCTTGCTGGAAAGTGGGAACTATTCTATAAGGTGTATTTACTGGGACACCTCACTAGAATGGGTGCACTCTTCCACGAGGTGTGCTTTTGCACCATGTGTTACTTTCGTACCTTCTTGGAATGTGTGAACTACTAGTATTCTATAAGGTGTGTTCTTTGTACCATGTATCAATCGAGTGCCTTGCTGGAATGGGTTAATTATTCCATAAGGCGTGGTTTGGTACCTTGTTGTACTAGGGTAACTTGCTGATGGTGTGGACTAGTCTGTGATGGGTGTTTTGGGAACCCCTTGCTGAAATATGGGCTAATCTATGAAGCGTGTTTTAGGTACGATGTATTACTGGGGTTCGTTGCTGGAATGTGTGGTATATGCGATAGGGCGTGTCTACTGTACCATGTATGACTTGGGGGTTGCACAGAATCATAGGCGTGAAATATATGTACATGGTTAATATTACAGTGCATGAACGTGTGGTCTATTCTAGAAGGTATAGATACCCGTATTACCCGGGTGTGCTTGGTATGTAAATGGTAAATGAATGTGTGAGGTGAAGCTGGAAAAGGTTGAACGGATAAAAACTGTGATATTTTAACATATTTTTATTTTTAATGAGAGAGTATTAATGAAATTAATGATATGTTATTTGTATGTTTTAATTGGACTCTCATAACCCAAACTGGGTGGCTCTTGAACATCATTGTGAAATGTAAACAAGTAAAAGTATATGCTTTGTACAAGTGTTGAGACCTGAATAAATAAACACACACACACTCTCTCTCCCTCTCTCCCTCTCTTCTTTCCGTCTCTCGCTCCATCTTTCTCTTTATATGAATTCTGTCTCTCGTCTGTCTCTCTCTCTCCTCTCTCCCCCCCCCCCCCCTCCCTCCCTCTCTCTCCCCCTCTCTCTTTCTCTCGTTCTGGTTACCTCACCGAAGAGAATCCTAAAGTGGCGAATGACCGATAGACGTGAAACTGAACTTGGATTCATGGGCTGCGTTTTGCACTACTGTTGCGAAATGTGTCGTCATATATCAATTATAATTGGACACATACACATTACATACAGTGATAACCCCGTTAGTTGGGAAACCCGGACAATTACCGCTTGGAACACCCACATATATACAAAGGGAATAGTACCATTTCGTTGATTCGTTAATTCAGAATTGTTTTAGACAGGACGATTTGATTGGAAATTGTGCTGTCCAGATTAACGGATTTTCCATGTACACAAATGGCAATGCAACATGGGAGTATTGAAAGTCTGTATTATTGTTCTATCATCTGTGTATGTATTTATATTTAGCGATATTTATTTTCAAACCCTCCATATAATCACGAATAACGACAATTTGCCGTCAACACGGGAGGGTCAAATGGACTGTATTCTCACCACGTCAATGTTGTTTAGCTTCTCGGTATGATATCCCCTCGACCACCGGTGCTTTCATGACATAAACATATCGGATTGTGGATATGTAGCTTCAGATACGACCAAACGTACCCACAGGATTTTATAATTATCAATTATATATTCTATCACCATAGTTCATGGTAATGGTAGACTCTAGGAATGCAGGCTTGAGCCAATGATTGATAATTTTATATAGCTTGGTCACAATATATCTTCATAGCATCAACGACTTAATAAGCCATACAGCATACAACGTATCGCCTTAACACATGACAATATATTTTGTCATTTCAACAGAGTTAACCTGAATTAAACAAACGTTAAAAACGTAACGTCGACCAGATAAACATGAAGGTGACATTGTTCACCTTAGGCACAAGTATTCTGATCGTATTGCAGATCATGTGACTCACGACGCACCAGAGCCTTGAATCAACTTGCTGATTAAATTGCGCATAACACTACTTATGTAATACCTTCATAGTCGTCACGATACAGCGGGCACCGGAACAGATTCTACGACCGTTAAATCAAGGACATAGTTTTCTCTCAAGTAATTATTGGATGAAGACATTTGAAATGTGTCATGTAATAAGTTAAAATAGGCAGGATGACCAGTATATAATCTCATACCTATCGTGCTGTTATGTATTTTGGATTTGCAAAAAGTGATGGATTTTGGACCAAAGCTTCAACTCCTCTAATGATAAAATAATCTTCAGAAAATAGAGGCACAGGTAGCTAGGTCGTCTAAGGTGCCGCCATTCCCTGTACATAGTTGCGTCCCTTGAACACTCTAGAAACATATGACTGTCGGTTCGAGTCCATGTTCGCCCAGATTATGTTTCTAGATTTGTCAGCACGATACCCGTGGTAAACGGCTGCATCATTTCCTGCTTTCTCTCACCTTAAGCAACACCCCGTGATATAACTGGAATACTGGAAAAACGGCGTTAAACCCAACTCACTCACTTTATCTTCTATTCGAAAGCAAACTTCTTTACAATTTTACAAAAAAGGAGAATATTTTTGTGTGTTATTGTACATCTCTTGCTTAAAATTATTATATGAATCGACAAAATCAATTAATTATACGTATTTATTTGCTTGCATGGGTACGCCGTCGGCACATTATTCGATCATGGCAGTTCAGTATACTCGAGGTGTGTTAGACATTGTATTTAACTTAATGTTGCCGATATGAGATGCAGTGTTCGTTAACCACGGTCTGTGTGATCAATGACACCTTTGTTTATTGTTGTGCCGCGTACTCGCTGCACTCAGTGGTTAATATTCGGAAACATTGTTAATACACAGCTCACCGGTATTGCCTGTAGGATAAATCGTATGGTATTTCACAACCCCCTGGGCAATATAATCCATATAATCCGTTCAAATTAAGAGTTAGACTGGTAACGTTTCATTGATATTATACATGTATGTGTAAACCACGGGCTTAAAAACCCGATTTTAACGATGTTCTTAAAAGATTATCATTGATCACTTCGACATCAAAACTCTACGATTGTTCACACTCACATCACTGAACAGACATAAGTACTAAGGAAGCGGCGACTTCGCCAAACGGGTCGAAACAATCCTCGTTTATCCATTTAAAAAATCTCCATTCTATTTTGAGATATATCCCATCCATTCGCCAGCATATCTTCGTTTCGAAAGTGACGTCATCGCTCCTATCTGAAACCCTAACTAAGGCTTGAATGCTGTATTTCTGATCAAACTGTTGAACAAGAGTCGCATGATGCTCTTTGAAATCTTCGTTGAAAGAGCATGCTGAGCAGGACATTTTCAACCACTTGAAAAGCATTTGATACGATGTAGTTTCAGTGATAGCAAATTACTTTTTCATTTTCATCACCCTGTACCTTCTGCGTTTATGGAACAAGGTTGAACAGAATCGTGTTCGTGATCAGTTCATGTTATCCGAAATTAACTACCTGTATATATAGTAAATATTAACGTTTATTCTACTATTTGAGAAATATTCCCATCTGATAGGCCAATCAGCGGTATCAAATCACATAACTACCTCTGATTGAAACACATGATTTGACGACCGCATCACTTCGGAAGATGATATTGATGGGAAACTACTACATTCTCAGTAAATGGTCGGTAGTCATTGGTAAATAATTTTTTAATTTGACGTTTACACGATATACGGCTTTTCCATTGGACGAGAGGTCGGTCACATGACCGCGAAATTGACGTTCATAAGTGTATGAACGACACAATTTGACGTTCATACGTT